ATGCCGACCTGCCCATGCCGTCCCGTCTCACGTGATCGACGTGACGTTTCCACACTCTGCCGTCATTTAATACTATTATGTACGACTTGGGTCCACTTCGCTCAGCTATCGAGCCTTGCCACCAGGTGTCCTCTTTTCTGAGGTCTTTCACTGAAACTCTGTCCCCGGGGTAAAATTCTCTGAACTTGGCATGTTCGTCGTGCGTGGCCTTCTGCTTTGCTTGGGAATCCATGACCTTCTCTTCTAAGTTTGGGCGGAGAAGAGTTAGCCGCGTTCGTAGTTCGCGACACAGGAACAGGCTAGTGGGTGTTCTGCCAGTCGTGGGGTGTCTTAATGACCGATAGGATAAGAGGAAGTTCGCAATACGTTGCTGAATGGAAAGTTTGCTGCCCTTGCAAGCCTTTAGGTGGTTCTTGAACGATTGCACCATACGCTCCGCTAACCCATTGCTCACTGCGTGATAAGGTGCTACCCGTACGTGTTTCACACCGTTCACTTTTAGGAAATGAGCAAAGTCTTCACTGCGAAACTGCGGCCCGTTATCGCTAACGCAGTGAATAGGTATTCCGTATCTGGCAAATAGTTCCTGTAAGATTGCGATTGTCGCTCTTGCTGTCGTGTTTTGAGGCATGTAGAAAATCTCGGGCCAACGAGAATGCGCGTCAACAACAATGAGATAATGTTTCTTTTCGTACTCAGCATGCTGTCTGCATGTACCTCAGGCATGCCACTCCGCCGCCTGTTATTTTCAGGAGCTACGTGTCTATTAGCCAACTCGCCTGGGTCTAACTAGTGCACCTGGGATTCCATTTTGGCCGCGTTCTCATGTGTTTCGTGGAAGTGGCACGCGTGAGTACAAGGGTCACCCCCTTCTTTCGCACAGCCTCTTACTCTCATGCATGTCACTCCGGCGCCCGTGATTTCCCGGAGTTGCACGTCTTTTCCCCAATTCCCCTGGGTCTAGTGCACTTGGGATTCCATTTTGGCTGCGTTGTCATTCGTTTCCTGGAAGTGGCAGGCGTGAATACAAGTCTCACCTTCTTCTTTAGGACATGTGCCTCGTAGTGCACAGCCGCTCACTCTCACGCACGCCACTCCGGCGCCTCTAACTTCCAGGAGATGCGCGTGTACTTCCCAACTCCCCTGGGTCTATCTAGTGCACCTGGGATTCCATTTTCGCCGCGTTCTCATGTGTTTTGTGGAAATGGCACGCGTGAGTACAAGGGTCACCCCCTTCTTTTGCAGAGCCTCTCACTCTCACGCATGCCACTCCAGCGCCCGTGATTTTCCGGAGTTGCACGTCTATTCCCCAATTCCCCTGGGTCTAGTGCACTTAGGATTCCATCTTGGCTGCGTTGTCATGCGTTTCGCGGAAGTGGTAGGCGTGAGTACAAGGCTCAACCCCTTCCTTAGCACATATGCCTCATAGTGCACCCCATTTAGTGTCCGCCATCTTGGATTTTTAGGCCAAGGGGTAGCATGGCCATTTTGGTCAAGGTTTTAAATTTCCCTAAAACTCCCGCTATAGATTCATTGTTGACCCGAACTCCCATCATGTTGACCCGGACTCCTAAGATGTTTACCCGGACTCCTTAGATGTTGACCCGGACTCCCTATGTTGACCCAGACTTTTTTGATGTTGACCCGGACTCCTTCGATGTTGAACCGGACGCCCTCGATGTTGACCCGGACTCTCTATGGCTTTGACTATGTCTATTGTTCTATTCTTAGTCATAGTCATATCTATAGTCAGAGAGTCAATCATAGTCATAGTCATAGCCATAGTTTTGTCATAGTCAATATCTAAGTCATAGACATACTCATTTCAAATTTATGTATTAGCTATGACTTAGATAATGACTATGACGATAATATGGTTGAGATGATGGCTATGACTATGGTTATGACTTTCACTATGACTATAACTATGAGTAATACTACGACTATAGATATGACTATGACCAAGGGTTCGGCCATAGCCATAGTCATAGTGGTACTCATGGTCAAAGGAATAATCATAGGTATGGTCCTAGTCATAGTCATAGCCGTAGTCAGAGTCATAGTGATAGTCCTAGTCCTAGTCCTAGTCCTAGTCGTAGTCATAGTCATAGTCATAGTCATAGTGTTAGTCAGAGTCAGAGTCATAGTCATAGTCAGTGTCATAGTCATATTTCTAGTGAGAATCATAGTCATAGTCCTAGTAATTGTCATAGTCATAGTCTTAGTCAGAGTCCTAGTCAGAGTCCTACTCCTAGTAATAGTCAGTCATAGTCTTAGTGATAGTCGTAGTCATAGTCATGCTCATAGTCCTAGTCAGAGTCAGAGTCAGTCCTGGTCATAGTCATAGTCATAGTCCTTGTCAGAGTCCTGGTCATAGTCAATGTCATACTCATAGTCATAGTCCTAGTCATAGACACAGTCTATGACTATGACTATGACTATGTCTATGACTAGGACTATGACTCTGACTATGACTTTATGACTATGACTATAACTATGACTCTGACTATGACTCTTACTATGACTATGACTATGACTATGTCTATGGCTAGGACTAGGACTGCGACTATGACTATGACTATGTCTATGTCTATGACTAGGACTATGACTATGACTATGACTAGGACTATGACTATGACTACGACTATGAGTATGACTAGGACCATACCTATGATTATTCCTTTGACCATGAGTATTACTGTGACTGTGGCTCTGGCCGAACCTTGGTTATAGTCATATCTATAGTCATAGTATTACTCATAGTTATAGTCATAGTGAAAGTCATAACCATAGTCATAGCCATCATCTCAACCATATTATCTTCATAGTCATTATCTAAGTGACTATGGCTATGACTATGACTATGATTGATACTCTGACTATAGATATGACTGTGACTAAGAATAGAACAATAGACATAGTCAAAGCAATAGTACAAGTCATAGTTAGACATAGTCCTAGTCTAAGTTTTGGTAGTTTCTACAACAGATAATGATATGAGTCGTTAAGTGAAATTAGCGCCTAAAATACTTGATCAAATCTAAGAACATTTACACAGGATATAGATATGTAGACAATAAACATCGCGTGAAAATCTTACGCAACTCTATGAAGCCGTTTTAGAGATATCGCACCTAGAAGACATAGACT